ATGACCACGTGTACAATGAAGATATGATTAATTACTGGCAACAGTAAAGGGCCAAACCTTTGAGAAAAGGGTATTTAAACAGTGAACTTTCTGTCTTTCTTCCACAAAGGCATAATACTGTGTAATTCCCTTCAGTGTAAGTTCATCCATAAGATTAATAATGTAGGGTCTGGGAAGGTATCTGTCTTTGAAATCCTTAACAGTGACAGGAAAAGTTGCTGAGAATAACAATATCTGCCGATTTGAGGGAAGGAACTGTAGCAATTGTTCTATTGATGGCTGAAATTCACGTGATAGAAGCTTGTCGGCCTGTGGAAAAAGGACAAGTGTTAGCTTAATCCAAACATCATTTTCAAAGAAAATGCACTTCCTAAACTTTAAAATACCCTAAATTCTTTGAAATCATGGTTTCAACAGCAGCAATATGTCAATCATGATTCAAGAGAATCAGCATAGGCAAAGGAAAGCAATATCTTCTTTTTTCCTAAATTCCTAAGAAAAAAGATTGCAAGCATATTCTCATTAATAGTTTTAGGAACCAGCAATTCATTTCATCATCAAACACCCATAATCACTTGAATAAGATTTCTACTTAGTAGGTGGAAATTAAAAAAAAAAAAAAAAGCAGCCGCAAGCCCAATAATAATATCATGCAAATCTCAAGAACAAAATGTCACATATGTGATGATAGACATTACAGTAATTTTAAATCTTTCAAAAACTTCGTAATACATATTTCAAATTCCACATATGCTTCTGAACAGACCACATCATCATCATCATATTTATTTATTTATTTTCAATAAAAACCTATGGAAAAACTTTTATTGAAAAGACTTCAGCTAAAACCAAAGATAAATTTATAGGAGGGGATAAACTATTGCTGAAGTCTTGGCCAATGAAACTTGAACAACATATGGACCTTGCATAGACACCAAAAAGTAGGGGTCAGTAACCTGCAGGCTGCACCATAATGCATATTCAGCTCATGCAACCTAGAACCATCCTCTAAAATCTCTACTAGACTGGATAAGAACTACAAGGGGAAATATGAGTTTTACTAAAGGGGGTTTACTTCAACTTTGAGTCCTGGCTATGTTACCCGGGTACTTCTATAATGAAGCCGTACCCGTACCGGACACGTACCCGACACTTTCCCATACCCAAACTTCATGGACACTTCTTGAATATATGCATGCAATTATTACAACATGTACTCAATTATACGATATATGTGTTAATGTATAACACTTGTCAAAGACTTACTAGACGTAGAGCTTACACTTCACATTCATCTTTTAAAACTAATGAGATACGCGTCGGATTCATTTCAATCCATACCCAAGTTTAAAACTATATAGTTAATGGGTCGTTTAGATGTCTAGTAAAAAAATGAGTAGTTTAAACTATATAGTTAATGGGTCGTTTAGATGTCTAGTAAAAAAATGAGTAGTTTACAATTCACGATAATCAATATGATAAAAGAAACTCAAAAATGTGATCGGAATTTTAATTCTAATGACACATGAAGGGGAAAAATTATCTTATGTACAATATTAATTCAATATATATATATGTAGTCGTGTCCCCGTACCCTACATTTTACAGT